TTATATGAAGATGGTGATGTAACACTTTAATTGCGACTAGCCATAATTTGGCCAGTAAAGTCAGTTCATATTAATAACTGCGCAACTACCTATCTGAATCTGCGAGAGGGTGCCATTAATAGATCGTATACTCTGTATGTACTGCGTTTAGCGTGTGGCGGGGGGGGGGGGGGTTCCACGAGACTAGCCACAACTGGAATAGTTGAGTCAGTAGTATTCAGAGGGGGCGATGGAAAGTGGGGTTAAACACAGAGATTTAGTGCAACAAGTCAGGCGGTCGTGATTAGAAGAAACTCAAGTGAGATACCTCAGAGCCTTCTTGATAGACATAAATCTTTTTTGGTTTTGTTTTCGAGTCAGATAGATAGATGCAGGGGAGTATCCCATATTTTACTATATGTCAATCTTCCGAATGGACTCTACTGCGACTTCTACAAGTATCCCATCGGCTACGGTATTCAAGTAATACATACACTTCACAAGGCTACGTACGTCATGCCTCGATATTCGCCCGTACTATACTCCCCTCCCACAGTAGAGCCCTCATCCGTCTTCTGGCCAGACCACCAGTCCCTTGGCCTGGTAGCAGTCGCACAACTTGTGCTCGTGTAGCCACAGCTTCTCGCGCCGCTCCACCTCGAAGATCCACTCCACAAACGAGAACTCAGGGCGGCAAATGGCACAGCAGTGATTCACCCCACACACAGGCCCGGGGTACCCGGAGCCCTTATCTCTCCCATCACTACCACCACGTGCGTCCTTCTGACTATGCGCAAGCTTAGTACCGGTCCGTGACACGGAAATGGCCTGGTTGTGAGCCGTCGCCTGTTGCGCCTGCGCGTTCTTCTGCACCGCTATGTTCCCCGCCCGCACCGCGGCTGCGTAGGCCTCCTCATAGGTCGACCCCATCCCCACGCCCACGCCCACCGCCACACCGCTGCCTATATTCACGCGGCTCAGATCTACATCCACCGCACCTAAGTCAATATGCGATGGTGTGTCGTGCGAGCAGCTCGCCAGGTCAGCATACTCGGTCATAAAGTCCGGTACGTCGTTGTCTGTATCTGTATCGGTGTCCAGCATATCGGAGGTGCCCGTAGGTACCGAACTGTCTTGCTCAGGTGTTGTATTGGTAATGGTATTGGTACTAATATTGGTATTGATTTTGGTATTAATATTGGTAGTAGTATTTTTGCTGCCGGCCCGCGGACGCCGCACATGCTGCAGGAACACCACCGGTGCTTGTTTCTGCGCGTAATCACTGGTATCTGCGCCTGACTTCGCCTTGGTAGCGGAAACCTGCCTTGATGCACTGGGTGTACTAGTACTGCTTGATACACTCGGCGTGCTCGTGCTGCTTGTGGGCGATGAGGTTGTGCCGTTGTTCTCTGGGCTGTTCGCAGGCGCGGTGGCTGCAAAGTCGAAGCTCAGTGTGTGCTGCGATGAACTGAATATGTCGGGCGAGGAGTCCGTCTGTTGTTGTTGTTGGAACGCAGCGGCAGCAGCATTGGCATTGGCCACTGGAAGGAAAGGAAAGGAAAGGGAAGGAGAGGATGGGTGAGTGGGAAACATTGGTGAATATATACATACAATGCTAGGTAGGTACTATGTACACTCGGGGTGAGATGTGTTCCGAACTTCGGAGTGGTGGTGTATCGAGAAACTGTACGGGTGGATCCAATTTGAGCGCCAGAGAAACTCGGACTCGCGAGGCGGAACGTTTAGCTAATGATGTGTTTATATGAAAATCAAAAGTATTGACCCATACGAAGATAGTACTATGTCAGACTTGACTCTAACCGTGGTCACTTATAATGCGGTCACAGACGAACGCGTGTATAAGCCACCTCTGCACACTGCAAACAAAAGGGAGACACAAATTTCAGTTCGTATTGAATTACAAATCAACAGGCAGACCTGCAGGGAGGTGAAAATCCGAACCAGACCAAAAGTCTTAAAACCCTGAGTTTCACAAACCCTAGCCGTCTAGACCATAGCCTCCTAAATTAAACAAGGCTATGTCCAGACATACTTGACCACATACAACCAAGAATATAATAGCAACCTTGATAGTCACATATCAGCAACAACAAGCTGTAGGTAAACACATCCAACAAGCCGTATAGCACAGATTGTACTGAATCTATCCCGTCCACACTAGATACAAACATCAATATAACAGGAACCATGCATGGATACGTATGCACAGCCATATACCGTAGGCAAGCACATCCAACAAGCAAACATACTCATCTCCGCCCGTCTTTCGCGCATGGCGTCCTGCACCCACGTGCCCATACGGGCATTACGCGTGTCATCGTTCTCGGGTAGGGGTACCATCATCACGGACTCGCTGAACTTGACAGCTCTGGTATGGAAAGGGAGGGCAATGGTATATCAACTGTTAAAAGTGGTCAATTATCATTTTATAAATAATAAGAAGACTTTACATATTGAATGAAATTATAGTAGTATATACATGAGAAGCTTGGGATTGATATGTTGACTGAGATATTGTCAATGGCAAAATGCATGTTTAACGGTAAACATACGTGGATGTTGGGTCACTACTTGGACTGAGACATATATATATATATATCTATGTATTTATATGTATGTATGTATGTATGGATGTATGTATAAGTATATATATTTATATATACATACATACACATACATATACATATACATACACACACACACAGATATATATATATATATATGTATATATATATATATATATATTATACATATATATATATATATTATACATATATATATATATTATACATATATAGGGTAAATATTACAATATTTACTACTTTGACTGCAACATGGCCTACGTACTATGTCATTCACAACGCTGAACTCGGCGGCTCTCATAAGTAAGGGAAGCAGCGGACACACAAAACAGACGATTCCATACATACCCTAAACAAGCCGGTTGTTGGTCGTACCGCGCAGGAACACGCGCACGCATCTGTTGATCAATGGCACTGATCTCTTCCCGCGTTAATTTCCGCGTCCCCACATGCTGCGACTGAGAGCGTGACAGGTGCTGTTGCGTTGTGTCATGTGTGTGTGTGTATGTGTATGAAGGGCCCAGAGTATGGTTCTGTAAAAGGGCCGGGGTGTGGGGATACGTTTGCGGACGCGCACTGTTCGGTTTATATGTATGTGTATGTGTGTGTGGTTGTGCACGCAGACCCGTCCCCGTCCCCCCGCCCCTCTGCGGGTGCACAAAGGGCCGATGCCTCCTGCCCTCTGTGCCGTGATCATGGCCGTGTGTGTGCATAAATGCCCCGTGTGGCGCATGCCTGTCTGTGTGTTGCCGTTGGCGGTGTGCGTGGCCCTTCCCCGAGTATGCGTAGAACACCAGGGGCGGTGACGGGGACAGTCCGTCCCGTTGTGGGGGTGAAGCGGGCCGAGACCTCGATGGCGAATCGGCTTTAGTACTGAGAAACGGACCCTCGCGAGTTTGGTCCGCCCAACTAGAGCTTCGTAACGGGCTTTCTATGGAGCTTTTCCTCATGGCCGATGGTATGATATTACCCGCCGCATCTATCACCAGGCCGTACCCGGGTGTTGGAGTACTATTGGAGCCCGAGCTGAGTGAATCTTTGATATATTTTGTAGGTGTTGTGTTTGCGTTGTCCGCAGGTGGCAATATACTTCCACTACTCGCTACTGCGTCTAAGAACTCGTTGATGGCCATTTGCGGAATTGAGCGGGCCTTGGAGGGGGTCTCTGAAGACTGAGACACCGCGTGGTTACCCGATTTCTTCATCAGATTGTCATCCTCCAGCTCATCCGAGGAGCTGGTTTCCCTTTCATCGGTGCTGTCAGCACTTGAGACACACCCACACTCAGACTCACTGTCCGATGAACCTGAACTCTCACCACTGCTGAGGTCACTCCATCCGTCTCCGAGATCCTCCCCGGCGTCACTCTCAGACGACGCATTCTCCTGTTCGTACGTACTGGGTAGTAAGCTATCGACACTCTCAGTTCCGTCACCCTCGTAAGCCTCAGATACACTCTCACCTACTTCGCTCTCACTGTCACTGTCGCTGTCATCCGACCCCCCGAGCAAGCTGCACACCTTGGCGTAGTCCACCAACTCTGTCTCACCCACATCATCGGCCCATTCCTCGATATCATCCGAACTTTCACCCCACGCGATCCCATCTTGATCGTTCCCGATGAAAGTGCTGTTTATACCGGATATCAGCATTCCGTCTAAGTTCATGCCCCCTATATCTATATCCTCATCTGTATATTGTTCTTCTGTGTCCATATTCACACCCCCTGCTGAGACCTCCATGGTACCCCTCCTACGTCTCCTCGGGACCGTATATGACCCGTCCACACCCTTGGTAACGTATATTGTACTCTTGCCACACTTTGTACACACCCGTGCACCCCTGTCCTTCCTTCGGCCAGACTTGGACCGGTCCGAAATCTCTTGAAACCCCGCGGAATCGACTTCTTGGTCGCTATCCTTATTACTATCATAGCCTATCACATCCTCTATCTCGGCGTTCTCCTTCAGCGGCACCGTGAAGCGTGTGCTAATTTCCATGGGCTTGGGCGGGGGCTGGTTGGGCGAACTGATGGGTGCAGAGGCGCGGCGCATGTACGAGTCTTTGTTCCGAACTTCGTGTTTGGTATCCACATCCACTCTTTGGGATACCGTATACACGGCTTGATCCGAGGCAGCGGTGCCTTTGCGGTTCAGCGGGAGCTTCTCTTCGAACTGCAGTGGGGAGGGACGTTCTGGGATGCAGATAGGTATATGGGTCAGTTAGAGGCGACAGGCAGTGGGAATGTGTACACTGTGCAACACCCACTCAAAATAGAACCATAATCCGCTGCGATTGATCGCTCGGAAGTGTGAGGGTGGGTACGAGGGGCATGATTTGGTGATATATATTGACACCAGACATGGCTAAAAGCGCTTCAGCGCAACACTTGAGGCCAAAGCAGAAACAGGAAAACCGTCAATATGAATGTAGAATCGCGACATAGTACCAAATTTGAATACAAAGGCCAAAACTATATACAGCTTAAGCAGACTCTATATTTAACCTCACCGGATGGGCTCCCGCAGAAGTCCTCAGTAGACCGCGCCGTTGTGGGGCTGCGCGCCAATGGATTGGTTGTCATGGTAACGGTATATTTGGATTGCTTGTGATGTTCTCGTATTGGAGGCACAATCGGGTATGCACACGTCCCGTCGTGTTGATCCAGGTAAATGGGTTTCCTCAAAATCCGCCGGTCGATTTGCATCGTGTCGCAATTTTGTGGAGTTCGCACTGCGAGCTCAACCCTACCGACACATCATTAGTATCTGCGGAGAATTAGAAAGTGGCAGTTGGGGTCAGAAGCACGGTTCTGATTGGCAGATACGGCATCCACCATACCTTCCAGGATTGTTGATTGAGGATAAGCGAACAGAAGTGCAGAGCCAGGTCAAAAGTGAGTACAATGTGTAATTCCAATTCCGGTGGTAATGGAACGACAATTACACGTAGAGATGGATTCGATTGGAAACAACAAAGGAATACAGATTGTATCGCCCGGTATATTTAACCGCAACTCAATCATATACCTACTCATAGACACATACGCTACGAAATGAAATTGCAAAATAGAAAAGACAACCGACTAAAAGTCAATGACGAAAAAGAAATATTTGATCATATTACTATAAACTAAAACACACACCTATACATGTCTATACACAATACATACATAAATAAATACGAATATATATATATATATATATAAAGATATATACATATATATACAAACAAACAATGAAGATATTAATATATAATATAATATATTACAGTATAATACAATACAATACTATACTATACAATATATAAATATATATACATACATATACATAAACATATATATGTATACA